GCGTCTCGGTCTCCTTGAGCATCTTTCCGGCGCATGCCACAAACATGAACCACAGCGAATACTTGTCTTTTAAAAGGCTTCATTTAGATTATTTGACGCTAAATGCATCATATAAGTCACTTTGGAATAAATCACAGTAGGCCTATGTATCATGATAAAAAAAGCGACTTTACTGTCTGGAAATACTTTAGGCTATAGAAAATTATTTAGCGGAACCCCCATCACATTAAGAACTGCTGGTATACACAGAAGAAAGCCCTCTGCCCCTGTACGAGTTCAAGCTGTTTATTCATTTTTCTACCCCTGAGCGAAAAAAGAAAATTTAAGCTGAATTCTCTTTTTTCAATTTTTGGAAAAAAAAACGAAAAAACGAAAAAGGAGCCGTTTTCTCATTTTTCTACTTTCAATATTAAATCAAAAAACGAATGATCGAATGATACACGGATTTCTCAGGATCCAAAATTTCCATTTTGTTCGGGTTTTTAAAATAAAAAAATGCTTACTTGTTAATTTAGCTTACAGCAGTTTTAAGTCGGCCTAGACACTGTTGGACAGTACCTCTTCTGGCCAGTAGGTGGGACTGTCAATCGACACAGTTATGATTCAAAGAGCTAATAAAGTAATAACAAGGTGTTTACTGAAAGCTACTAACATTTTTTAATTATTTTAAATATAATATTTTTTATAAGATACCAGTCAACAAAGTTAAAATATGAAACTTGTGAAACAAGACACGACCTGAGATTTGAATGCAGCTCAGTGGTTTTGAATGAGACGCGCCCCCTAGTGGAACTTTAATTTTTGTCTTATTAGAAACGGCCATTATGCTCAACAGTTATTATACAATGCTCGCTCTCACCCTCTGGATGTCTGTGACAGCAGCCCGAGCTCGGCTTTCATCCCTGCAGGCTAGAATCACACGAGCTCCCCTTTTCGCCAGATCCAGCGCGGTGGCTTTGCCGATACCAGTGTTTGCTCCTGCAATTAAACCATCTTAAAATGTCAGTCTTAGCTATTCAGTTGCTTATCACGAAATGCCTGTGTGAACGTTAGTGGACGAGTTGTCAGTTTTGCGTTGTGTAACACGCATGGAATGTTTACGAGAAAAGTAAAATCTGCAAAAGCCGTTTTAAAACTGTCAATAATAATAAAATGAGGACATGCGCGACTGTATGAAGGGAATATCAAATGCACTAAAACCGAGCACATACCAGTCACGATCACGGTCTTCCCGTGCAGCTTGGCCATACTTTTACATTTTGGCAGGTGCAACACCGTCACGCACAGCAGCAGGTAAAACCCGACGAGTCCTCCGCAAATGAGCAGAACGGTAAACATTATATTCAAACGATCAGAGCAATAACTGCTATATTTGCTTATGAAAGAGCTCGGTTTCCCCCAGACTGGGAACAGGAAGACGTGCTGGAGCCAAACACGCCCTCCTGTAAACAGTCTATTCAGATTACAAAACCCAAGTCCAGACACTCACAGCTATTATGTTGAACATTACACCACTGTTAAGCTGCTTTTATTCACTTCACTGACTGAAATGGCATCTATATATTTGTTTCATTTTCAAATATGAGTGCTTTTGCCCATGCAAAACTCGCGACCACGTTGCTGAGTATATCTCTTTGGTTTTGAGACTTTAGTCTTTGCAACTTCAGGGATCTTATCTATGCACAATCAGCTTGTAACACTCCAAAGAGAAAGGAAAACTTGAAATCGCATCATATGACCCCTTTAAGTGGCTTCTGTTCTTGAGATTTTGAAACCATTTCCATGCTTCTAGTGTTCAAGATTTTAAGGTATTCTGGTCCCTTGATATGGTTTAAGTCCAGGAACCTCTAGGGGGCAACAAGGGTCCATGGAGAAGTTTAGGGAGGGGAAAAAAAATAAAAAAAATAAAAATGGAATTAAAAGAAATAAGAACAATTTTTGATTAAATCAGTTGACTAAAATAAAAGATTCAAATACAAAATTGGTATAAAATAAACAATAAAATGGATTAAAATCAACAAATAAAAAAACAATGGAAACTAAATATTTTCTACATTTATTATATTACTTCTTCACAGTATAAATTGGGTCTTTATAAATGAAATATATACAGCTCCCTTTAAAATTTTAGGATGGTCCCTTTAGGTGTCGGTGGTGTCTAAAAGATTTAAACCCCTTGTTTAAGTCAGTCCTTCATTGTAAATGTTTCAAGCTTACACTAGACGAAAATGTAAGTCTTTTTTTTTTTTTTAAATAGCACCCCTTTTCTTAAACCAACTATATTGTTTGTGTCATGCACAAGTAAGGCAGGCATCTGAATATTTGCATTGGAGATTTTTTTTAAAACCCCTTAGTCTAAAAATAAGCAATTGTAATGCTAAATTTAGAAAACTACTAATTTTACTGAAGAGCAGGCCGTGAATGAATCAATAAGCATGACTATTCTAAAGCATGTTATTTAAAATCTGGTTTGTATTTACATAGTTTGACACAAGAACCTGGTGAAAACTAATTACAGAACCACATGAAACAGACACATAAAAGGACTGAACAGCAACCAAATAGTGCACAACAGAAATAATACAAACTGGAGCACTTTTGCGCACGGAATCCTGTGGATCTCTGGCTATTCACATGGATACTTACATATATGTACATGAGTCTCTTCGCACGCTAAAGAAACACCAGGTCTGACTGTGCTCCAGAGGACATGCATAAATAAAAGCATCCGTTTTTATGGGAAAAAAAGAAAATGCATGTTTATATAAAAACTATTGTTGCTGGCACAAAATAGAACATGTTTTGATTTTTTGTTTTTTTTACATGTGAAAACTGCTCATTGGTTCTGAGCATAGAGGATGATCAAAGTTTCCCTTTAAAAATGCAAGTTTTGCATTGAGACAAGAAAAAATGTGCAACCTGCCAAAAGAGTTTGAAAGAAACTAGAAAAAAGTCACCTCATGCAAGTGTATAAACAATTAAATAATTAGGAAACCGTTTAAACTGTACAAAGTTGATGCTTTACGGGTTAAGTACAAGATTGTGTTGGAGCGGAGGAGGTGTGGCCTTGCTCAGCTGCTCCCCCTGTTGGCCAGGTGTGGGAGTGAGGTTGCAGATGGTGAGCTCCTCTTTAAGCGGCTTGTTGGCAAACTCTGTGATACTGAATATAAACTGCAAGCAGCCCAGTTTGACGTGGCTTCCGTGATGGAGGAGCGCAGTGCCTTCCCATCCTGCACCACTGCCTCCAATCAAACTGGAGCCGCTGTTTTTACAGTTACACGGAGTGATGGGAGAATCGTGGGACTGGCAGCTCATAACTCCACCCTCTGTTGTTGAAGCCACGCCCATTGCAGACTCCTCCTGCTTCTTTTTCCTGCAGCGTCCTACAAACACACTTGAGTTAATACTGAAGCTTACTCTGCAACGTTTTCATGAAATGGAAATCACTGTATCTATTTTCTAAATGCATGTTATTGATTTAATTCATGCATTTTTCGTTTAAAACATTTTTTTTTCTGACCTCAATTTTTAAAATCAATGGAACTGGAAGAGAAATAACTCACGGATGATGTTCTGCACTTTGGCTAGCAGGTTGCTGGACGGGCTCTGGTTCATCTTCTCCGAGAAGTCACAGGAATATAATACGTTGTCGACGGTTGTCCCGTGTTCGCTGTAGTTCAGCAGTTCATACTGCTTTGTATTCTGGAGGAGGAGAGAGAACAAATGTATGTACACGTAAATGACCTCCTTTGTGCTTAAAGCATGTTAAATGTTTAAAATCGCATACCTCATCATAAAATATACAGGCATGTTTCCCTGAAACGTAGTTACAATGACCGTAGTTTGTAAGGCACACGTCCATATCAGCACCTGCAATGAGAAAACATAGTTGTACTGAACACTGTAGGATGACGCATTTCCTGCAGCCACAGAATGATAATCACCTGTCCCGATGTGCAGACTCCTGTAGCACATATTTACAGCCATTCCCTTTCCCGAGACCGAACACAATGAAGCTCTTGCCTGCACTTCCCTGTTTTGGGCTGAAATGAAACATCAAGAATTAATTTGCTGATGGTAACACAAATTTCAAAAAAAGCATAATGAATAATGAATCTCATACCTTCACTGTGTTTCCTATGAGTGGGTGACACAGATAAAGGAGAACTGCTCTCAACAGGAGAGGTTTTCGATTCAAAGAGCTGCTGAATCCTCTGCCATGCTAAAAGCTTGATAAATTTCTCATCCAATGAGCCAAGCTCAACTTCTGCAATACAAACAGGGTTTCAGAACGCTTTCAAAATGCTGCCATCGTTTGAAGTGTTTTGTTTAATATAGTTTAAGTAATAGTAATAATAATCCTAATAAAATAATTATTTTATAGTCAAACTGATATATAACAATTTTTATCCAAATTGTGCAGGCTTACAAACATGCAGATGTATTCTATCAGAAGTTAAATTCAAGTATGTAAGTTTGCTGAGTATGTATGAAATTCTATGAAAAGAGCAGACTGATTTATGGCAGCTTTATGTATAGATATCAACTGTAATTATGACTGGTATATTTATTACAGTTAATTTAACTCACTTAACTGTATGGAGCGCCAAAGTCACAAAAATACACAAAACTACATCGATTTAGAACTAGGAGGGATTATGAATTCCTGAAGGTTACAATATATTTTCAACCTAACTTGAAAAGCAAAACAGAAATATTACAAGATTCCTCTCTGAAACACACACAAACCCACCTCCGTTGTCCTGCATGATGTCTTTTATTCGTCCGGACAGCTCCAGCATGTTAGGTTCTGTGCAAGAGAAGACGTCACCACTGCCTGCCATCACAGCATCCAAAACAGCATTCCCATCTGATAAGAGTAAACAGCCAATCAATATTTTTAAAGCATCGCTATGTAATAATCAAACTAGAAAAGTAGGCATTTACCACTGGAAGGGGATGTAGATTTCTGACCTTTTGACCCGGTGTCTGAGATGCTTTTCTGTGGTTTAACAGCACGTGCTCCTGAACATACAAAAGTGCCTGAGAGTTTTGCTGCTGCTGTGTCTGAAGCTGATGTAGTTTTCTCATGGTCACATGATGGAGTGCTGGGTTCAGGTTTGACGCACACAGGAGGAGGGTCCTCAGTGCCACTACAGGACTTTAAGCTGGCTCTCTCAGTCTTGATTTCCGTTTCTGTGTTGCCATGGTTGGGTGGAGTGGGCGTGTGTAAACGGGGCATTTCATGGGTTCTATCAGGACCCTGCATTCCATTGGACTGAACCAATCGGTCTACTGGGCCATTTGTGGTCTTACAGTTCTGACACAGTCCATCAGTACATGAGCTACAGGAAACTTTTGGAGCAATGTTCTGGCTGCCCGTTGAGGTGGCACTCTGGCAAGAGTCTCTGAGTTTCAGATCAGTCTTTTCTGTGTGCTCTGAATCCCAAGGAGATGTTTGTCTGTTCCATAAATGCCTCATAATGCTGCACTGCAGCGAGATGACGTCTTTGAGCCACTACACCAAAGCATAACAAAAACACTGGTTCAGAAACAATACTGAATTCAAAAGCAGAAGCAAACCGCAGGCTGCTTATACACACCTGACACTGTTCGTCTTCACTGGTTAAGTGCTGTGGGGCAAAAGATTCTGGAAGGCCGGTGCAGATCAGCTCCCCTTCACGGATTCCTGCCGTGGCCATCAGAGTAGGCGGGTTCTGATACTGTGACTTTATGGCATCTGGAACCTGCGATTAACCAAGCAATATTTCAACATCATCTCAAGTGTCCATCACTGGTGTCAAACAGTGAGTTTAAAAGAGGACAGATTACCTTCAGAGTCTTTCTGCTGTTGGCATGAGCCGATCGCTGTGTAGGGGGGTGCTGCCGATGTATCCGCTGCAGGAAGTCAAGTTTGACGGCATGCTGGGATATGCGATCCTGAAACTGGTCAAATAACTGGCAACGGTTGTTGAAGGTCAAGCTTCTCTCGTTCAGCTGTGAGGAAAGGAGGAGAATGAATGAGTGGCATGTTTGTATTTTTTTTTTTTTTCAATTTAGCATATGAAAATGTCACAATTCAAAAGATACACAAGTCTTGGTTTCTGTTTTACACAAGCTTCCTTACTACCAGGTTCTGGATGTGGTTGGGACACATCCACCTGCCTGTAGGGAAGGCAGTGAGAGGTGGGTCCAAACAGTCCATATGAAACAAAAGAGGGCAATAGTCACACTGGATCAGTGGAGCCAATCGACAGCTCCTGAGAGAAAAATACAACTATTAATGTATAATATCCTAAAAAGGGATCCTTTTAAAAATAACTAGGGATGCTCTGATCAGGATTTTTGCAGCCGATACTGAGTACCGATTTCTTGTCATGGTGATCGGCCGATACCGATTCTGATGCTTCAAGCTTTATATAGATGGTTTCATCGGGCGCACGCGCCTGGCCCCAAGTTAACTTCAGGTCTTTGTTTGTTTATCAGTGGCGCCGGCTACAAACGCAGTTAAAGTTAAGGTGATGAGTAGACTGAAGTTGGGCTCAGGTGGTTAGTAGGCTAATATGGCCAAAGAAGATATTTTGTTTTATAAATAAATGTTCATTTAAAAGCAGCCCACGATCAGCGTGTTATGTTACCGTTATCCCTTACGGCTCCAACGAGGTTTTGTTCCGTCCTCCACACTGTGACAACTCACAAAAGACTATCTTTAGCCAAGCAGCGTGGAGAGCCGCTTCAGAAACGTGCCGCGGCTGGACAGTATAAACACAAGCATTAGAGCGGCCGCGATCAGCTCCAGTGGCCGTGGAGCTGTAACGCGCCGCAGACGTGTGCAGTGAGGCGCAGATCAGCTCTAACGTCACTGAATCTGCTGTTAAAAATGAACCATCCATTCATCATATCATCATGCAAAACATACACGACAAATATCTCATTTTTCATTGTTTCTCGAAACGTCATAGCATTTCCACACCAGCGATGACATGACTGCGGCACATAGACCGTAAAATAAAAAAAGTCTGCGGCGCCACATCATTGACGTCCCCCACACATCATGTACATCGTCACGCATTGACGTCATCAAATTGCGATCAGTTCGTGAGATCGGCCAAGTGTAGTGAGTACCGATCGAGTCATAAAATGTGGTTATCGGCCGATGCCGATCGACTGGAGCATCCCAAAAATAACATATACATTTATAAAAGCTTGTACCTGCTGCATGTGTAGCACACCTTCACTGGCAGTGGAACCAGTCCAAAATGGTCCAGTTCATGTTGTGGACGTTTAATGTTCTTGGCTGATAACTCGTCTTTTCGTCTCCTTTTGCTGGTGCCTGAGACGAAAAAAACAGATGCATTGAATCTTAGAATCACATACAGTCTGTTCACACTCTCAAAGTGAGATCAGAATGTCCTGTACCTGGAAGTGCGGTTGTGCAAGTGAGGTCATTTGGAAGCTGGAACTGCATAGGGTTCCTTTGCATGGCAGCGGCGATTAGGAGGTCAAATGGTCTTTTGAGGGTGGTTGTGATATTTGAGAGTTCAGGCTCAGAACCCTGGGCCTCATCCTCCACATCCAGGAGGTCTTCCTCCATGTCGTTCTGCTCGGACGGTGTGGGCGTGTCTGTGGAAGAAGTGTTGGAGTTGGGCGTTGCAGGTCGGCTGCTGGGTCGTCTCTCCAAAAGTCGTACCTGAGCGACAGCGGCCCGAAGCCCTGTGCCGCCCGACCCCACGGAAGGATCCAGACATAATGTCCCACATTCCTGCTCAGGACCCGGAGAAGGCGTCTGCTTCCCCAGCTGCCGCTCCAACAAACCGTTAATTTGCTCCTTCTTCTGCTCCCTTTTCTGTTAAGAGCCAATATACAAATAACATGATCACAAGTCAATTACATTTTTAAACTTAAGGCCTGTTTCTTTCTTTTCTTTTTGTTTTTTAAAGCACCCACTGGCATAATCTATAAAATGTAGAATTAAAGTATAAAGAATTTTCAAACACAGTAAATATATAATAATCAGGCATGTGATTAGCTAAGGATAAAAAAAGAAGGAAAACCTGTTTTTCTCTCATTCAGTATGACTATACGATAACAACATAATAATAACATCAATTACACAATTGCATTGTAATAATAATAATAACAACATCAATTACACAATATAACAATAAAATATAGTATTAAGTTATAAAAATTACATATTACTATTATTCTAATAATGTTAATGTAAAATAAAAAAATGACTTCAAATGTTACACCATTTTATCCGAAAACTGCAGGGAGACTTTAAGGCTTCTCTGTTGTATAAACTATTCTCATTTAAAATTTGGGAAGATTAAAAAATTAGGGGCAAGTTTAAAACTTCTAATAACATGAGTGGTTGTTTCATTACAGACAGGACACCAACCTTCTTGCGAATGGTGCAGCGATGGCACATCCAGTCACCAGGGGGCAGCATTTCTCTGCTCAATGGCGGGTTACTGAGGAAATGTAAACAAAGTCAGAGGCTTCATTTAGCACAGAGCAAACATACACCGTTATAGTATGCACAGCCATTCAATAAAACAATGAATGAGAATGGGACAGCAGACCAGCTTTATACTTTAGCCTACTTTGAATGTAAAATTCAAAAAAGAAAAAAAAAAAACAATGCGATACTATAATTTTGGCAGTTTCTAAAACCATGCCCACATTAAACACCTATGCAAGAGATGTTTTAAAAGAGGCAATTTTGAATAAACTATCTATACCCAGCCGGTATTGAGAGGGTAAAAAAATACCTCTCTCTGTAAGAAAGGAGTCTCGTGTTTTCTAATGCATTGCACTTGCAAACAGATCTACGTTCAAACACTTCTGTTCTACTGATGGTAGAATCTGTAATGAAGCCTAAAAGCACCAGGCTCTCAGATTGTATAGTACTTCAACAACTGGGTTAAAACACAGCAAATAAAAACCTGTTCTAACTTCATAACTTCCCACAGTTCTTTCAAATACCTGATTCATCTAATAACACCAAAAACCCATTAAGAGATCTTCCTAACGTAGTTTCTATTTGAAGCACATCTGATCAATCCCAGAAACTCTGGAACTTAGAGACTACACAAATGAAGGCCAGTGTGGCAGATTTCCAGTGGCCCATGGGCCGCGCAGCACCAGCTGTATGTGTTTCTCCTCAAACACACATGGAATCATTTCACCTCCCAAACAGACAGAATAAACAATGAGAAAATACGGAGGGGAAATCGAAATTCAAACATCCTCCACTGCAGCTGACCGACTACGGCATGAAGTGAGTTAACAGTTACAATAAAACAGAAATCGTGACAGATCTTTTCTTCCAAACTGTGACGTACATCCGAGTGTAACAGACTACCACATAAGGAAAAAAAATGTACGGCAGGGACTTGGTTCTATGCATCAGTTGTTGACTGGATTTTGAGATGTGGACACTGCACTCAAAAATGGAGGCAGATGAGCGTTAAAGCTTGCAGGGGCCAAGTTTAGCCGGAAGCCCTGCATATGTCATCAGAAAGAAGTCTGTCTTTTAACAATTAAAAAATTGAAACATGCACAGATGAATTGTTTACAATAAAAATCTATAACATGCATTTAGAAAACAGATACAGCAAATTTTCATTTCATGCTGATATTAATAAACGAAGTCGATCACAGATGTGCAAACATCTGACAAACTGACTCAGACGATTAAGAAAAATCCATCTCATAATCTCAATCTCTCCATAATGGAGACGTGGTCGTGGCCTTCAGATGTCCATGGTTAATTATTATTTATCAGCTCCCTGCTAGAGCTTTTGCCTGCTCATGCAAAAAACATCAGACAGCATATAAATAAACTCCAACACCCATGATGTTCCATCTGGAGATGCAAGAAGAAACATCAGCCAAATCTGATGGACGTCTAGTTGTAATGCATGTGCCCCGACTAAACAAGCATCACAGTCCTGGGCCCAATGTTGACCCAGCTCCAGCATCACACACACCAGCACTGTAGATGGAAGGCAGCGGGGCAGTGATCACAACACAGCAGGTCCCCTCCTTCCCGGCAGCTGTCGCAGGTATCGTGATTGGTGGCTCTGCCCGCTCTCCTGGTGCTCCTGTCCGGTTTCCTGGTCCGCTTCTCTCCATCCTCAGACTTGGGTGGCGCCAGCAGAGTCTGGATTTGCTGCAAGAGACCGATTCAGAAACTCATTAGTGAAACATCTGCCCGCGTCTTACATCACATCAGCCGCTCGAGCCATTGTTGGGCCGTGACCGTGAGCGCGCGCGCACCCGTGTGAAGGGAGCCTATGGAATGGATGACATTAGCGAGCGAGAGCGGGTTAGCGGCGGCACTGACAATGTTAACCGGACAGTGAAGAGAGGAATAAACGAGTGCACGAGCGTGTTTGTCTTACCTCCATCAGCCCGCCGGAGGTATCCAGATCGTACACGATCGTCGGGGTCTCCATTTTTCCCCACATCAACACCAGCCCCAACTGGTTCCGTCTCCCTCAGCCGCTACGTTACACCACGACTCCTGTCAGATGAAGAGCGTCTGACCTCCAAACAGCCGTGGGATTCCCGCCCGTGTCTGTTGTGGCTCCGCGCGGGCTCTCCGTTAATCGAGCAGGCGCGCGGAGGCCTCTATCCCCGGTGCTGTGCTGGCCCTGCCGGGTCTCCTGTCTGGTTTCCTGGTCCTCTTCTCTCCATCTTCAGACTTGGGCGGCGCCAGCAGAGTCTGGATTTGCTGCAAGAGACCGATTCAGAAACTCATTAGTGAAACATCTGCCCGCGTCTTACATCACATCAGCCGCTCGAGCCATTGTTGGGCCGTGACCGTGAGCGCGCGCGCACCCGTGTGAAGGGAGCCTATGGAATGGATGACATTAGCGAGCGAGAGCGGGTTAGCGGCGGCACTGACAATGTTAACCGGACAGTGAAGAGAGGAATAAACGAGTGCACGAGCGTGTTTGTCTTACCTCCATCAGCCCGCCGGAGGTATCCAGATCGTACACGATCGTCGGGGTCTCCATTTTTCCCCACATCAACACCAGCCCCAACTGGTTCCGTTTCCCTCAGCCACTACACCCCGACTCCTGTCAGAATGATGAATAGCGTCTGACCTCCAAAACAGCCGTAGAATTCCCGCCCGTGTCTGTTGTGGCTCCGCGCGGGCTCTCCGTTAATCGAGCAGGCGCGCGGAGGCCTCTATCCCCGGTGCTGTGCGAGATTCCGGCCCGGCAAGAGAAGGAATAATAAAGACACAGAAATTATCATTAAGTCCATGTTGGAAAGACGTCAAACATCAAGCCCCCCGAAGAACAAATCCTCTGAGGAACTGGCAGCGGCGAAAATCAGACGTTTTTCTCCCGGTAAAAGAACGACTTAACGGCGGAGCGTCTCTGTTGTGATGAAGGAACGCTCGCGCTAACTGACGCACAAACCCGTGTGCGCATGCGTCGCCCCATCAGTAGCGTTGGGAATCCAATTCATTTAGAGAATCGGTTCGCTTTAGTGAACAGGTTCAGTAGAATCAATTGACTGATTTGCCATAGAGGATGTTTATGTAATAAAGAATTAACATATAAATATTTATTTAAAATTAAATGAATATATAAATGATAAATACTGTTCTGAATGACTTTGCATTGTTTATGGTTTTCACATACCTTACAATTCTACAACCAAAGTTTTTTTCTTACAAGGGATAGTTTACCCAAAATTTAAATTTAAATAATTTACTCACCATCCAAACATCTTTTAGGCGCTGACAGCCCCAGTCACCATCCACTTGCATGTATTTTCTATACAATGAAAGTGAATGGTGACTCAAGCTGCCATTCGGTCCTTCCAGAGGGGAAAAAAGGAAATTAATTCATTTGTAATTAAAGAAAATTGTAACCATTTGTAATTTACATGAGGGTGAGTAAATGATGACAGATGTTTAAGTTTTGGGTAAAGTATCCATTGTTTACAGTCGAATGGTTTACAAACGATTTGCGAATCGGTTCGAATGAATCTTTATAAGGAGCCGGTTCAGAACAACGATTTGTTCGCGGTCGGGCATCACTACCCGTAAACAGTGGAGCCATCTTGCTCTTTTCCTGCTTCTTAATAAAAGCTCTCTGTCGATGTAGTCATTGTGGGAACCGTCAGTATGTCCTTTTTGTGGCTGTGAGGAACTTGTTAAATACATAAACCGGCGAGGGTTAGAAAGCGGATGCCATTATCCGGTTTGTTTACGTGTTCGAGCCTCTTTGTATTGTGAGGGAAATTTCTGGCCTCTGATTGGTCCGTTTTGTCGCCGGCGGGACATGAACCAATGTGTGAAACGGAAGAAATGAAACAATTTCATTATGATGGTTTTGGAATGGACTAATGTTAAAATCTCCAATGAGCACTGAACAATGGCGGTGAACAGTTGTCAATTCATTTATTATGCATATAATATATAGGCTATATATTTATCATATATGTGTAATCTGATTAATTTTCACATTTACATTCATATAAATTCAACATTCAGAATAAATTAGCATTTATAGAGATTCAATATTTAGAATACATTTTTTTGTAAACAAAATGCATTTTATTCTAATAAAATCAGAATAAAAATAAATCAGCATGATAGAAAGATAAAACAGTGATACTGTTCAATAAATAGCTGCAGTCTTGTTTAAATGAAAACTTCGACAGCTACAGACTATATTGCATAATAAATACATAAGACCATAATGTAGTTTTAGACCATTTATTTACAGTGTTCTGCAAATAAGCCTCCATGCAGCGACAGTTATACATAGAGAAATGGCTTTATCACCATCATGAGCTCAACTGGAACTCAAGACACTCCCGACTCATAGGTTTTGCTGCATGTGGATGAAAACAGCTTCCACCTCTGTGGTTCCTCAATGTGAAACAAAAAGAATCCAGTGCATTCTGATATAGTCCAGCCTCAAGGTGTGAGCCTTGGGAAGTTTCACCAGACAAAAAAAAAGTACAACACAAACCTCAGGCTCTGATGTGCTACAGAAATAACACCCTAATGTCCACCATCGTTAATTTGCTGGCAGAGGTCTTGGAGAAAAATACATTTACAGGAGCCCAGCAGAAAAAAGGAGAGGTGCCAAAAGAAAGACAGATGAATTTTACATACACACCTCGTATTGCCTTGCATCCTGAAAAGATAAACAAATCAGATTTCAGTACAGTACAGTACTTCCGCTTTGACGTAACGTTCAAAGTCTTCATTCAGAGCCCACTTAAATACAGCTGGTGATCCAAGTTGTACTTGAAACAAAAAAACATTTAATGAAAAAAATATATATACACAGCTTTGGAAGTGACATATATTGATTTATTGATGCTTTTATTTGATAAAAAATGCAGTAAAATAAAATGTAATTTATTTCTGTGAGGCAAAGCTGAATTTTCAGCAGCCATTATTTCAGTCTTGTCTTCAGAGTCACATGTTTACGGAGCCCCGCACATGGCATGCAGGAAAAAAATAGTAGGCTAATCGTGCGCACGATTTACTATTTCGTTCCCTCGATTTGCTTTTAAGTCGTGCACACGATTTATAAATTGAGAGAACCAATTAGTAAATTGTGCGCACGATTTAAGGCGGGCGTACACGGTGCGATTTTTGCTGTCGTACGAGCTCGCAGGCGATTTTTTTCTCTCGGGAGATTTAGCAAATCGAGGGAACGAAATAGTAGCCTAATCGTGTGCATGTTTTTGTGAACGAATCGAGGGAACGAATAGTAGTAAATCGTGCGCACGATTTGTTTATTTTTTCTTGCATGTCATGTGCGGGGCTCCGTACATGTTCCTTCAGAAGTCATTCAAATATGCAGTAATATGATTTGGTGCTCAGTCATTTCTCATTTTTATCAGTGTTGTGCTGCTTAATATTTTTGTGGAAACAATTATGCATTTTTGTAATCCGTCACCTTCGATCTATTGAATGCATCCTTGCTGAATAGAAGCATCATGTTCTTTCATATAAAAAATCAATCTGAATTTCTGAACGGTAGTGTAGCTTAGATAAGTTTATGAAAGTATAACGTGCAAGTTAATTCAAGAGCTTCATTATCATTTTATTGTTATTTGAATCAAAAGAGAGGAAACTTGTGAAGACATGAAACAAAAATAATGAACAGGTGAACATAAATGACTTGAAACACAAACATGAATCCTGTGAGATTCATATGTAGGTAATATAATTTAAATAAACAAATAATTGTATGATCATTCAAGTGGAATTTGGACAGTTTTTCACATTCAACAGATATCGGCGACTTGGTAACTTGATGATTAGGAAATTATTTTTTGGTTAATATGTGGTACTCCAGTATTAGTAAGAACATCCAATATGAGAACATGAAGAGGGTAAATTGAGACACACACACACACACCATCTGCTGAGTTCTAGATATCGATGACCCACAGCCTCGAGCCTACATGGGTTTTTACATCTAAAATGAATGTTTTCATGAGGGACCCAGAGTCTTTCCTTCTCCACTGCAACCTGACATATTTTATTCTAACCCTTTGCATGTTATGAATATACAGCAGCATTTTTGAACTTGAAATATTAAAACAAAAAGACAGTAAAATAAATGTCTTAAGTCTTAAGATTTTATGTAACATAGCACTAAATTATGAAGACAGTTTTATTATATATCTTGTCCTTAAATATTTAGTAGTGCCATTACATGGTACTGATACGGCTACATTACAGTGTAAATACTGGCCTTTAAAATAAAAGCATATTTCTCTGTTTGCTGTTTAGCCATTTAACTCTGTTTATTCACACTATTCGTTCTGCAGACCAAGTCAATGTCATAAATGACAGGTGGAATGACAGAATGGCAGGCAGGGTTGATCAGGACAGGACGATGGTGTTGTGAGAGCCCACGTCTCTGAGGTTCATGGCATCCATACTTACTCCCGTCTCATACACAGGGTTGTCAAATGCAGATTCTTCCGTCATGTTGTCATACGGTGGAGATGACGACCCAGGAAGCTGAAAAGTCTTGCTTTGAGCTCTGCAGAGACAAACAAAACAACCTTATTAGTGAAGAACAAACCCCAACACAAAAAGCAGTGTCCTTTTCCCTGCCCTTGAAACTTACATCGAGATACAGAGGAAAACGACCAGGAGGAGCATCAGTACCACCGCTACAGGAATCAGAACTGCGACGGCGATGTTGACGCCCTCCACCACGTCGAACTCTGAATCAGCAGCTGTAATGTGGACATTTTATGGAACATTTAAAAAATATATAATACGATGATGAATTAGAATGATTGAATCTTTTGTGTTTAAGACATTTTAATAATACTGAAAATAGTGTCACCGTTCAATCTGTGTTCCTCATTGTTTCTTGAGGAAGCTGAAAAACACCAATAACAACTTCTGTAAGACATCTGAATCATTAAACAGTGCTTTGAAACGCATAAAGATGTATACCAGCTGAAAAGAAAGCAGTTCGTACCTCTGCACATAGGTGGCGCTCCACTCCATTGAGACGGATGTCCAGGGAGGCAGTGGATAGTGGGTTCACCCTGAAGCGCATAACCTGTACGGCAGGTGAAGCTCAGAGTCTCTCCTGCCTGGAAAAACGCTTTCTCTGAACTTTGGATGGCCGTGGAGGGGGCGCCAGGGTTACTGCATGGTTCATATCTTTCAGCTACAGAAAAAACAGAGATTTCAGTCTGCTGGAATGCAGTAATCCTGAAGTCCACTAGATGGCAGTAGAGTGTCAGGTTTAGGGTTGCATTTCTTGTAATGCTGAGAAATAAATGCAACAGCACAGATGTTTTATCACTTACGGACACATTTGGGCAGTCTTTCACTCCACTTTGGGTCTGCAGTATCTCTGCTGTAGCAAGTGAGCACTCCTGGGCCAGAAAGTGAGTATCCTTTGTTGCAAATGTACTCCACGTATGATCCCACAGCGAAACGAGAGCCGGTCACCAGTCTCCGGCTGTTGTCCAATAGCCCCGGCTCATCACATGACATAACTAGGCAAATATCAGAAATAAAAACACATGAAAACAACAACAACAACAAAAACAACAGAAAACTTTTATAATTTAACAACAAAAACAAAAGAAAACTTTTATAATTTCCCAAAACTGAAAAAAAAAAAAAAAAAAGTGAAGTAAAAAAGCAAAACTATACTGGAACTGAAATGTTTTGAGCAGAATATTTTTTTATTGCATACAACAACAACAACAATAATAATAATAATACATTAAAAATAAATAAATATACTTAGTGTTTTATACAATATAAAAGCATAAATTATGGTAACACTTTATTTCGATAGTCCACTTTAGACATTCTATTAACAGTAAGTAACTTTGCAACTACATGTCAACTAGCAGTTAGTAGAGTATTAGTAGACTGTCTGCTTAATATCTTGTAACACTTTCTTTGTCAACATTCTACTAACCCTAAACCTACCCTAAGTTTACTCTGAGAGTTAGTAGACATGTAGTTGCAAATTAATGAGAATTAGTTGACATGTAGTTACAAAGTTACTTATAGTTAATAGAATGTCTAAAGTGGACTATCGAAATAAAGTGTAACCTAAATGATATTTGAAATGTGAAATAAAGTCTTTGTGTGGTTAAAACATGAATAATCTTTCATATTAACCATATATATTATTAAATAATAATAATAATAATAATGTGTTATAATTAAACAAATAAATATTAATTATAAGTATTAAATATATAAATCTAAATTCTATTTTAAACATGAACTAGGGTGGTTAAAACATTAATGCTATTTAATAATAACTGTATATATTATTAATGAATAATATTAATTAATAATATTAATATTATATTATGTAAATTAATTCATTTAATTATTTAAAAATAAGGCATTTGTGCAGAGGTATTGGCTCATTACACTGTGATCCACATCATTATGTTGAGGAAATTTTAATGGGAATTAATTCAAATATAATATTAGTTTTTCAAGAAGAAAGTCAGTCTAATTATTATCAAATATCCTCAAAGCAACAAATTGCCATCGCTAAACCCACACAGGTACCTGCCAGTTAATGTTTCTGAAAACTTACTTTCGGTTTTCACAGTTAACGGACTCTGCATCTATCATGATAGGGAGGTTATTATTTGTAGTAACCTTAATTTACCAGTAGGTGGCAGTCGACCTAGTTTTAAATCTATGCAGTCATTATCAGCATGTTTATTACATTTTCTTAGTGTGACTTAAGCACTAATGATCTGCTGTGACCTTTAAGTGTAATGTTAGCTCTTACTTTTCTCACAGATGGGGACGTCTCCACTCCATGTCAGATCCCACTGGCACATCAGGATCTCTGAGCCCTGCAGACGGAAGCCTGGGTAACACTGGTAGGTAATAACGGTGCCATGGGTCAGGTCGGGATGAGACGTGCTCTTCCAGCCATTAGAGATTTCTGGCAGCTCCGCGCAGGTGTCGTTACGTGGCACTTCTAGTATTTGGATGGTGGAAGGAGAAAAGAGACATTGGGTCTTGGGATTTTTCTATTTTTACCGTAAAGTTTTGAATGTAAATGAGGCTGCTGTGAGAAAACAGTTGCCCATCTCAGTCTTTGCCAATGAGGGGCACTGCCAAGCAGGTTGGCACCTCTACTGCTACTGCTTGTTCAGACACTGGGGGACCATCACTGCCCAAATATGATTCATTTAGGAAAATACCAGCTCTGGCTCAACAGACATGTCAATATCAGATCCTTAATGTACTAATATTTACTGTAAACTGCTTAATGTACATACAAATAAAACAAACAAGAATGTAAAGATGATCAGCACATTCTCATAACGCCACTAACCAAAGAAATGCACTACAAAGCCATTGTTGTATCCGTAGACATTGGAGGCTGGATCAGATTGAAACTGGATGGTCACATCGGCTGTAGAGGTATAGAGTCTAAATCGAGGAAGAAAACCGCTGTACTGGCCCAGGATGTTGGCTGTGAGGTCATCTCCATCATAAAAGGTCAGCAGGTCATTCTTCCCCAGACGAAGACTAATAAAACAACACATATGAATGCACATCATTAATGTAGCTCATACATTTTTAAAGCAAAAGAAGGGTAAATGAAGACAGAACATTATTATTTTTAGGTGAACTATCCCTTTAATTAAGAAGAATGGTGGCATTCTAACATAAAAATCTGTCACACCACCAGCCACATTTGTTTCCCCAGATGGTTTGCTGATGTCATTCTGCAATTCATCTTCATTTCCAAACCAACATGAGTAATGCAAGGGGAAAACAAATTACACAGCCTAGGCAGAATTTTACACAACAGTATTCACGCTGAGAATCAATCATGTTTTCCATTCTGTCATGCTAAATGGCAATAAAGGCCAGTGTTTAGATTCCCTCATCTATCGGGAGGCTGCATTTACCTCTTCAATGGGGAAGTGACATTTTGCAAAGAAATTAGATTTATTTAGTGTAATGTTGGAAAGCAGAGAGGCAGAGCCCTCAGGGCCGTCACACAGCTGTCAGCCCTTCGGGTTCTGTTGTTTGGGAAGGTCATAGATGAGCTGTGTTAATATTCACAGCCTGACAAAAGACAGGGGTACAATAAGGGTTTACAGAGTTAAATACACATTTACATGTTCTGATGATCAGCTGAGATGGACTGTGTTTTTCTTCTTCTTCCATCGAACAGGCTCATTGTTAGATACTTTCAGGCCTGTGTGTGTTTGTGTTTTGGAGGGTAAGTTTGGAAGATAGTGTTGTGCAGAAGCCAGTAAAGCTGAGCTAATGATGCATGTTGAGACACAGAGGCTCTGGGTGCAGAGATAATGTCACACTCAGCCTCAGGAAGATTCGATGACTGGTGGACCATTGGCTTCTAAAAAGGGCAGAATGTCAGAGAAATAAAAAAGGACTTTTCATTTTACCCTATTTTTTCTTATTAATAATAAATCAAATAGAGTAGGTTGCTTTTAAAATGCCACATTCTCTCTTTGCAAAAACTTTGTCTAACAAAACAATCTCTTGAGATTATGCCAAATGTACCAATCACAAATAAACTTCCTTACTCCCAATACCTCTTAAACCCAACCGTCCCATCCCAAAACTACTTATACTGTGCCAAAACCCACCGATAAGTCCACAACTAATCCATCCATCTCACTCTAAACCTACCTATACCATCCAGAAACCAATTCATATCACCCTAATGCTGCGTTCAAGTCCTCCTGGGACGTTCATACTTACGAGTTGACAAGTCGTAATTACGACGTCAGGTGCGTTCAAGTCAGTTTAGTCGGCGGTGTACCTTCTTTTAATAAATTACAAGAAAATACAACAGGGTCTGCATTTTTTTACTTGGATTTCAGCTGCGTAACAAGAACATGACCAATTTAAGTTTATAGGACAACTAAACTATCAATTTAAACAAAAATTTACCGTCAACTACAGACGTTGCATCCATCGATTCCGCCATGTTTCTCATTTACCGTCAACTACAGATGTTGCCTCCATCGATTCCGCCATGTTTCTCATTGACATGCCCCCAACTCGGAAACTCGGGGCTTAAAGAACATTTCGAGTTTCCCACTCGTAATAACGACTTTGTGGTGGCGTTCATGTGTGTTCAACTCGTAATAATGGTTTTCTGTTTAAAACTCTATCAAAAATTATTTGCCTTGATGTTTCCCTCAGATCTTTTGTACTTATGAAAGAAGTTGCAATCAAACCTCAATACAATAGAGTTCACATCCCATAATGGGTCACTAAGATCTTGAAGAAGCTCTGTTGCCTTGAAGTAACGTGCAGGTGAGACCCCTATCCAGGTGTTCAGCCTGGCACCTGTATGTGGGCCCATTAGCGCTGAGTGTTAATGAGTCCGTGGGTGGTCTCCATGTCTGTGCTAAATTAATTAATCAGCTGTCATTACACACACTGTTCCTCTGTAATTGGAAGGTGGTGAACTGTACCGAATGCTAATAGAGAAGTGAAAGCATTCTCATTAGAGGAGAAAAGCAACACAAACACTTAGCTACACAAAGACAGTCCTAAAATATAACCATCTATCATTTCTGTCCACACACATACATAGAGGTTCAGATACTCACACCTGGACATCCAGCATAAATCTCTTGTCCTCCTCCACATGTAGACCCCAGATACAATCCTGGCCTTTGTCATACGCTTCAGGCCAGTTTGGAGAAAGCACCACTCCTGCTGAATCTGTTATTTCTCCACTGCACACCGCTGTAAAACAAACAAATGGTGCGTTCAAGTCCTCCTGGGAAGTTTGTATTAACGATTTGGGAAGTCCTAATTACAACGTCAGGTGCTTTTAAATCACTTTGGAGGGAGCAAGATGACAATGTAAATTTAACACAATTTTTTAACTCTACATCTATAAAATTAATAAAAACTGCAAATGGGGTGTGTTTTTGCTTTTTATTCAATTTGTGTAAGTGCTATGAGATACAGTACTATGAGATTTTGAACATGCAACTTCAATGGCATTCATTCGTGCGTTCAACTTGTAAATACAATCTTTACATCCAATATGACTTGAATGCACCAAAAGTTAAAGGGATCAAACGGTTTAATTTCTTTTTAATTTAAAGGGATACTCCATTAAAAGTTAAAATTCTGTCTTCATTTACACACACTTATGTCATTCCAAACCTATATGACTTCAAATATTTTAGCTGACTGACTTTCATCATAAGGACAAAAAAATGCTGGGATATTCTTCAAAATGTCCAAAAGAAGAAAGAAAGTCATAAAGGTTTGGAACGATATGAGGGTGAGTAAATCAATGTTAAAGAAACAGTTCATTTGGATTTCATACTGACTTCAAATGGTATGTAAAAACAAAAATTAAATCAGAGAAAAATTACCAAAAAGATTGGACTATAAATCAATCGGCATGCTGAAAGAGACATCACACACACAAAATCACCTCTGCAGGCTGGTTCTGTCTCATTCCATTGTGGATTTTCATCATTTACGCACTCTAAAATAATAGCGCCCTGCTCCAGTGTATAACCAGGCTCACAGGTGAACTCCACCACAGAACCAACTCCAAAAGCAGGATCACTTGTGGAGAAATTTCCATACTTCACAAACGGCTCATAACAGCTGCCCTGAGCAAAAGCTGTAGAAAAATAACATTTATACAATACAATAAACACAACAAAACTACACTGCTGATTATTTATTTTTTATTTTCTCATAAACCGTAAAAAGGCATTTTTACATTTAGATTTATGCACTTGGCCGATACTTTAATCCAAAGTGACTTACACTGCAGTCAAGCTCATTGTAGCAGTTCTTGCACTTTCTATCAGTCTAGTATTTATAGTATTATTTCAGTAGGATGTTGTTTGTCAGTTGTCCTTGGTCATGGTAAACTTGTAATTCTATAAACATACGCAGTAATCTTTTGTCTCTAGGTAACATCTGTTCTATCTGGCCCTCTCTGTTCTTCTTCATCTGCTGTAACTAATTTGTTCAGGCCTTATAGAGACCAGAACTAATGAGAGGCAGAAGTGAACAAGCTCTTTTGTGAAATTACTGGAAGACAAGAATAACTCATGTTCAGGAAATACAGAAGAGTCCTTGTACCTTCATATCGGATGGCAGCGCCAGTGCATGTGCCCATCTCGTCACTGGTGAATTCCACAAACAGATGCCTGCCGGTGCTGGTGACCCCCTCAGTGGGCAGATACTCGACTGCATACGAGTCATACAGGGGCGGAGAGTCAATGTTACTTCCATCCTTTATGAGGAGCCTGAAAACAAACAAAAGGATGTCAGCATCGCTAAAGAGTAATTGTGTGAACAGATCAAGATTATTTGATCAAAAATCTATAAAATATTATTCTAATATAAAATAAGAGATTTCTAATTCAGTATATTTTAAAAGGTAATTTATTGCTGTGATGGCAAAGCTGAATTATCAGTGTTCTTCAGTGTCACGTGATCCTTCAGAAATCATTATAATATGCTGATTTGGTGCTCAAGAAACGTTTCTTATTATTATCAATTTTGGGAAATGTTTTGGAGAATATTAAGTAAAAAATACTTCAAGTAAAAAAAAAGCACATGCCTGTCATCATCCTCAGCCAGTGCCACTTTCTCAAAGTGAATATGGAGCCGATGGCCCTCAGGGGCCTCCAGTACCCAGTGACATGTCAGATTGTTGCTGTAATTTCCTGGAAACCCCGGAGAGACGATACGACCCTGAGTGGCATTTTTCACCATCCCCCCACAAGAAACTAGACATGAAAGACAAAAAGGAAAGAAACTGCTGTGAATTTGCTGCAATCAGTTCCCTTCATTTTCATCCTCAGCCAGTGCCACTTTCTCAAAGTGAATATGGAGCCGATGGCCCTCAGGGGCCTCCAGTACCCAGTGACATGTCAGATTGTTGCTGTAATTTCCTGGAAACCCCGGAGAGACGATACGACCCTGAGTGGCATTTTTCACCATCCCCCCACAAGAAACTAAACATGAAAGACAAAAAGGAAAGAAACTGCTGTGAATTTGCTGCAATCAGTTCCTTTCATTTTCATTATGCTTTGCACAGATTTCCAACAGACTGCCAAAAACTAATGAGACTAATGAAAAGGAACAACATGGGTCCATTTAAATGCAACTAAATCACAAGTCATAATTTTTTATGTGTAGCAATTTCGAGGCAGTACATACAGGCATAGTTTTGGTTTGTCCTCTCATACCTTGACAACTTGGCTCTCTGCCACTCCAGTAGAGTGTGGTGGCATTTCGGCAAGTGAGAGAGGAGGGGCCCTGGAGCTGATAGCCAATCAGACAGGAGAAATAGGCCACGTCCCCCACCTGAAGACCAGTGACTGATACTTCACCATTTTCAGGGGCCAGCGGGGATGCACAACTCAGAGCAAATGCTGAAGAGAGAAAGAGAGAGAAACAGAAATGTATGGTATATGACTGTATGTAAAATATATTTGAAAATAACTATAATTTTTGAAATTCTGTTTGGTGACACTTGTGGCATTGAAATTAGACACTTACAGTATGCTTTAAGGCAGCCATTAAATACGGACCAAAAATTATATGGTTAATCAGTTTTTTTTTGTGGCTAGTTTTCCCTTACAAATAACATTTAAAATCAAAATACATTTTCTATGAAGTAAAATGACTATTAGAGCTATTAGATATTATGTCTTGTCTTTGGAAAAATCTATCAAAATGAAGCAAGTTAAACTTTGTTTATTTATTTATTTTTTAATTTTTCAGAAAACAAGACTTAATATCTTAAGTCATTTCCCTTTTCAAGTAAATGTGTGTTGATTTAATAATTTTTAGATATTTCAAATGGAAAACAAGACAAAAATACTAAGTACGTAATTTTTTTTTGTTGAAGTGTAGTTGAAGGTGGCTGAATTTGTTTGTTAGAAATAGGCAGACACTGAGAACATAGCTGTCACAACATGAGCAGAAGTTCTGTGACCTTTGACCTCTAAATCAGCAATCACATTTAATGGCATTTTTATCTGAAGCAACTTTTTTTAATCACTATTTGCGCTCCCTGGGAACTGAACCTTTGATCTTAGCTCTGCTAGTGCAATTGAGCCACAGGAACACAGAGCTGAGCAAACAAACCGAAAGCAGATGCTTAAATCTGACCCAGACTCCTTTATCTGTCACTAAACCGATCAGGTGCTGCTTAAAAGTGCGGAAGCAACATTTAATGTCCAGCTGATCTCACCAGCTGTGAATAACCAGCCCTCCTCTCTCTGTTTCCATGGTGGTTAATGTTCAGTTGTTTAGTTCATGCCCAGTTGTTTAGTTATTACTAATAATGACTCAGTTCAAGCACAGCAGGGCAGATTCACTGCTTGGGGGTTACGGCCAACAGATGCCAGGGCTTTATGTAACACTAATCCAACCTGTCTAGCAGCAGAAAAAGAGCCACTGACAGACGTTTCCATATAATGGAAAGGGAATTAAAATGGCAGAACAAAAACGTTTCAGGGTCAGCTGACAGTCTAAAAAAAGAAACTTAATGCATCATGATTAAAATAAGTGGAGAAGTATGTAATCAAAGAATTTTTTTTGTTTGAAAATAATCTGTGGAAGCAAAGTCTGAAGAGATCTTAAATGCTGCATTGTTATATATGTTTGCTTAAAAACGAATAAAATGCCACATTTTTGCCTTTTTTAATTTAATTAATACAAGCATGAAATAATATCTGAACATTAAATAATAACAATAATAATTAGCATAAAAAGAGGGGTGTCTGGACTGAAAAAAATTAATTTTGATTTAAATATTCCAGCACTATTTTCAAGCAAAACTGGATTGATAGTAAATAAAATGTAGGTTTTTACTTTGAAATTCTGCATTCTAACATGGTGCAACCATTAATTGTTTCATTCAGCTAGATGTTATGAGTAAAATACTAGCTGAGAAGAGCATGATATCACGGGAAGGTCATTGTATGCCGAATGGTTCATTAATTTGACAGCTTTTGCAAGTGTATCAGTGCTCTTCATGGCCTCTGAGCTGCATCTCTCTGCCTTAATAGCATTTATTGAGCCCTTGACCGTTTGAACAGAGCATTTAACCCCAGCGCATAAATATCAATAGAGCACAGAGATGCATTATAGCTCTCTCTCATTTAATCTCTCTCTGGGACAAACGCTATTGATCTCTGTTTAGCAGCAGGAGCGGCATTCACGTGTGCTTCAATTGCATTTAAACTCAACATGCTTTTGGCCAGCAACTTCATCTCTGGTGGCTGCCAAACCCAGAGGATGCTGGGATTTCGAAGAATGAGTTAATGCGAGCATCAAAATTTAGAAAATGATTTGATCTTACAAATAGTTTTATTTAAGTATGTATGTGTGTATATACTGTATGTATATATATATATAAATATATATATTCATTCAATTAAATGCTGTACTTTTGACCTTTCTATTCATCAAAGAAACCTGAAAAATTGTATCATGTTTCCACAAAAATATTAAGCAGCACAACTTTTAATTATGATAATAATAAGAGACGTTTCTTGAACACAAAATCAGTATATTACAATGATTTCTGAAGGATCATGTGACACTGGATACTGAAGTAATAAATGAAAATTCAGCTTTTACATCACAGGAATAAATTCCATTTTAAAATATATTAAAGTCGAAAACAGTTATTTTAAACTTTACACTTTAAATCTCTCTGAATGAGCTGTCTGCCTGAAAATAAATGTGTATTAGGACATTTCTTTGCCCATGTAGACACACACCCACACCAACACAGACCAAACAGGCAGATGCTGTCAGTCTCCTCTGAAAAACAACCTCAACATGTTTACACTAAGGAGTGCCATCAGTATCAAACCCCTCAAGGACTTTAGCATGAGAGATGATGTTTTATTCCCGAGGCTTATTTCCATGGCATTATTCTATAAACCAATTAGTAGGCCTACTAACATTTGTTTATAGTTCTGTAGGCCAGATTCAGTAAGAATCATATAGCAAATTGATTTTTCCTCTTAATATTAAGGCAAATCATTAAAAATATTAGCACAAAACAGTGAGATGGTACCTCTATACTGCAAAAGTAATAACCCAGGCTGAGCTGGCCATTCACTGCTGAACTGCACTGAGATCTGGTTACTAGAGCTCCGCAGCACCAGACCTCTGGATAACATGGAGTTGTTGGCCAGAATTGAGGCCATGGGTCCGCCTAGATCCTCTAGAACCGCCTCCATCCCATCATCCAAACTCGCATTATGCACCTGCAGCACAAGGGCAGAATCAGATCAAAAGGTAGGCTGTGATATTCCAGAATTACATGATTGCATCTGTGTAGATATCTATTAGGATCAGTTCAACTGAAATTGTGTTGTGGGTGCACTTCAGTGGATCCAGAACCACGTAAGCTACACAGCAAAACATTGTCATATGGCCATGATAAAGCGTTCTGATAAATGTGAATAACATAAACAGCTGTACATCTAAACGGGGCGTATGAACATTCGGCTTTATTACCTTTTCAAAATAATTCATCACACAAGAGCTGAAGAACAGACAACACAATCCTTTCCATTCGCTTGTTTGTAGTTCAAAAGGCCACGCCCACCGCGGAACGAATCTATGAATATTCGTACTAACCCCGCCCATTGGAACAGTTTTTCACGGGAACCGAATATTACACAACACCGGTTGTATCAGAGCTGGTACTGATACACTGATATGTTTTTACCGCTGTGAGAGCAGCACAGGTGCTACACAGTTTTCTTGTTGCATTACAGATATTAACTCACGTAATGCTCTCTGAGAATTTGTACTGAGCATACTTTGGAGAATTAGATATCTGGGGGAAAAAGAGCATAATGCCCTTTAGCAGTTTCTTGGAAATGCTATCAACAAAACAGATATGAAAAAAACTGAATTGAATTAACGTATTCCAAAAAGTTATTAAAATAACTTCCAATAAATTTCACAGACATTCAAGTACAGATTAAATAAAAATATGAAATACTTTTTTTAAATTAATTAATTAATTAATTAATTCATTCATTCATTCATATACGATTCAGGAACCACACTGGTTGCGTTGTATGATTTTGATTCACTAAAAAGAATCGGCTCAACATAAGAGATTCATTCATTCGGGAACTGGACTACACTGGCGTCCTGTATTGCTTTGGCGCGCTGTATTGATTCACTAAAAGAAACCGGCTCAAAAGAGTAATTCGTTTTGGAATCAAACCACGCTGGTCTATGTTTTGAGATGAACTTTTAGTAATGGCGTTGCTGCGGTAATTAGTTTCGCATTCGCAAAAGAATGGACGTTTGAGAACCTTTAATGAAACCTAAATTCAAGAAATTCATTTGGTCTCGTTATTTTTTTTAAAGGCGGGACTCGGTTCCTAATGAGGACGAAAAGCAGGTAAACACACTAAAGTTAGTGAGAAACTGTAGGCTAATTCTGTATTAGCAGTCACTGCATTTAAAACTGTCGCATCACAGTAACACAAAGCGGTATAAAAATCAATGTAAAGAGACATATGACTTTGTTCCATCATTCCCTTCTGTGGTAGCTAGCTTAAAACCAAAGTGATATTTGCAAACAAATAATGCTAGACCCAGAGCAGAGTTTCAGACCTTCTTTCCTTTTAAATGAAGCCACGTAAAATACTAATTTGTCAGAGGGTGAAGGAGCTGATGACCTGCACAAAAATTGCATAGATTTAAATACATGCATGATAAATGTATGTATGTGAAATATTGCATATTTCCAATGCCTTTGCTTTTCTCTTTCCCTTGTGATTTGTCAGTCTCGCACGCTGAGAGGAATAACGGTCCCTGACACTCTTGCTTTACATCTCTGCTTTTTATGACACTGGAGCCAAGGTGAATTAATATCAGTTGACAGCAATCTCTCCAACTGAGACCTTGACTGAAAAACTCATTTCAGATGTGGTGGCAAGACCCTGAAACTATCCTCAGGTTCAAGTGACTCCTTTCTGTGAATATTAGCTCATTTGCTCTGCTATAATTTGAGCTATTTAAACTCAAATGCCAACTGAACAAGCACAAAGACCTTAATTTCCATTACCTAGGTTTAAAAGTGTGTCATCAGATGTTCGGTTGATACTCCCTGACCCCTGTGCTGGGTAGGGTTAGCAGGGCAGTGCGTATGGAATAATATGAGCGCTGTCATGGTCAACAGGTCGACAAGCAATTAAAATGAAACGGTGTTGAGAATCTTAATGATTTGTGGCCTTTCACAGGACTTTTGTGGACTCAAGCAGACCAGTTTGTGGAAAGCTAATGAGGGTCTGGCCGACAGAGCACTGGACCCTGGAGAGACGACATTGTGAATACAAGGTACCTCTAATTACAGTTCAACTAAAACTCCAATTTCACTACTAAACACCGTCCACCCATTCATCAGCACACAAGCATTGATTAGATCATGAACTTCTTACAACTATCTAGACATTCTATGAAAGAATATATATTATGGATTTTGAGGAAAGCTGACTCATATACTTCTGCATCTGTTCCATAAATCACAGCAAATGGCCATGAATCACCACAACCTTGGTCTAATAAAAGATGATGATTGATAGCCAGTTAGCAAAAGGAGCACAAACTAAGCTAGAAATGTTGTCACATAATTCATAGCAGTATCAGAAAACACATAAAACAGAGGCTTTTCATATGGAGGTGAAAACACTGTGAAGTTCAAGGCTTTTTCACAAATTATTTAAAAAATGATATACAGTTCTGTTAATGGCTCTTGCACATTCATTCTTCCAATGAGCGGGCTGAAAACTGTATTAAAATACTCTGACAATATGATACTGACTGTTTGCTACTGTAAGTGGTGCCGCAAAACACTTTCAATACAGTGTGAAACAGCAAACATTATATTAATATATAAAATAATTATAAAATAGTAATCTGATTCCTGACTCTTATGAGCCATTTCCTTTGTCTTTTTTTTGTTTTGTTTTTTGTTTATGTGTATGAAAAGTGCATAGCTAGTACAACCAGAGTAGTCTAACTGATTCCCAAAAGAATGACTCTTATGAGCATGTTCTTTTTGGTGAGTCAAAACTGTACAATGTTACCGGTGTAGTCCAACTAATACTTGAATGAATGAATCAGTACTTTCTAGTGAATTAAACACATAAACGGCTTACAACTTATGTTTTTCATAAGAGTCACTCCTGTAGTTACAGAGATGGTTGTTCATGGCAGCATGTGGTTAAAGATACACATTATGAATTCTGAGTAGTACTTTATAAAAAAAATTAATGAAATGTTTTATGTTGTTGTTATATATGGTATTACTGAATTCAGCTACTGGATTGAATAAAAAAAAAATATGTGAAAAGTAATTTCTTTCATAAACTCTGCACGAATTTTTACATTTATTTCTTTCTGAAATTATTTCATCGTTTGACAATGAATTGCATCTCTTTTTTTTTTTTTGCCAAATATGGGCATAATGGTATTGCATTTCACCACTTTGGAGTTGGAACCCGCAACTGTTAGCTGTCCTGATCTTTAACCACATGGATCTTTAAACATCCATATTCAAATAAATATGCGGCCAGTGAGCCTTTAGCATCCCCTTCCAGAGCAAGCACATTTCAAAATCACTGGCTTTAAATTGGCCACTTGGAGAATTACAGATGTCAGGAAAGAGCAATTATTTTTTAAGGACTCTTGTTTTTGCTAGATATAAAAAAGCAAACGTATGATCAGAACTTTCTAAGTTTGTAGGATACATTTTGCGATCAATTCAGTGCATTAAACTTTATTTTACACTCAATATAATATCCTCAAACATAAAAATGTTAAAAAACACTTCAGCATTTTCATGATCTGCCTCAACTTAAATAAGATCAATATGCATTACAAATGAAAAAGTTTTGACTTCAGACAGACCTTTAAATAAATGAAAAATGTCAGCTGTTGGTGAATATTGTAAGCAAGTACTCAGAAAACTAAATTCACCAAAGCACAGAGATCAAATGAAGTCAAAATCCTGATGAGGCCGTCACATCTAAAATGTTCAGAAAGTCAAGTGAGCATCACGTATGATTCAGCACAGCCGCTCTCATCCAACGTATCTACTGTAGGGCTTTTTAGAGGGAATTTTGTTTTATTTGACACAGCAGCTGTTCTGCAGTCAAACACTGATTTGTGAACATGACGGTCCTCCTGGAACTACATACGGAAACTTTCACAACTTCAGACTGGAGGCCTTTACAAATGCCTGAGAGAGAATTGGCAGCATCTGTCTGCATTTCTCTAAAACTTTTAAAACACAATCAGTTTTTAAATGCACTTCTCTTTCTTCTGATCAATCCAAAATTAGAGGTCTGAGAAATTGCAGTGCAGTCGATCGAACCGTATTGAGTTAGATGGCTGACAGGAACAATAACAAGTTCCACCTGATTGCATGAAACGCAGAATAGACATTGTCTGCGATGCTTCATTTGCTCAAAATGAACGGCTTGTTTTCTCTTGGCTTGAGTAATGAAGTAAGACACTTTGTAAATCCTCTTTGTAACTATTTAGAAAAGCGCCTAGTTTTCCTCTGTTGTTCATAATCATACTGGTTTATCAAAGATATCATTCTGTGATTTAAAGATGAGTGCGCTTAATGTCTTATTCATGCTCCTCAACTAAGCAGTCACTAATATCATCATACTGAATAATTTAACTGTGCTATTTCTTCACTTTTTTAATTCTCAGTTGTATTCTATTTCTTGCATTACTGGCACACATTCAAGCACTGTTCGTCTATCTATAGCAATTTTACAATTGCAGTGGCCTGTTTGCAGTTGTAAGGCTTCTCAGTCCATACTTGCTGTTTAGTAGAATGAATATTTATCTCATATCCATGTAGTTATGCAGAAAGCACAGAAAATAATATCTTGTCATACTGAGCCGGTAGGAACAGGCTGAGACTTTTTTAAATTTCTGGATACACTTATGAAATTTCAATGTTAAGTGTAGAGGAGATGGAAATGACACACTGTTGCCCTTGAGAAACAAAGATGTGCGAGAGACGCTTCTCCTAATCTGCACCATAGACATTGTCCAACCCCACTCATACTGTGTTCATTTTACTTGTGTAGCTCTTAAAATGGGTAATACATTTCCTTAAATTTATTTTTTACAATTCTGCAGATACCCTGTAAATAGTGAAATAAAATTCCTTCCTTCATATTTGTTGATATTTGTGTATTGAAAATCACCATCCATCCATCCATCCGTATTTATTCATATCCATATCTTTCGGTCTATATGCATCTATATCCTCCAGATCTAGCCATCCATATCTATCCATGTACCCATATCCATCTATATCCATCCATGTCCTCATATAGTCATGTGTATCCATTCATATATAGCATTCATATCTATCCCTATTTATCTTTCCATCCATATTCATCTTTAGCCGTCCATATCTATTATCAATATCCATCTAATGTTATAATATAATGTTCTTAATGTACCTGGAGAGGTCTCAGAGGAATATCCTGGTGTGGTTTTCCCCTCCGGGCTCCGTGATTCTTTCTTAGGTGAAGTTGACAGAAACAGTGGTGGCAAAGTACTTTCCTTGTCAAAGGCTTTCTTTGTTGTTGTGTTGAGAGTTGTCTTTTGACCTGTGCTTGTGGGAGTGCTTATTGGAATGGTGGGGTTTGTGAAAGGCTGAGAGGTGACCATGATCTTCTCTGATGTACGGCCAAGACTTAAGACCTCACTCTCCAACATCCGGGAGAGCCGCCATAGAGGCAGAGGTCCCCTCAGCCGGAGCCTTTTCCCATAGTAATACTCACCATAATATAACAGCTGAAAAGTCTTAGTAGTGATCGTTGGGACAGTGACTATTCCCCCATGTGAGGATCCACCTATGGACTTACAGAGGAAGTACCACATGGGGAAGATTCTGAGGTGGGCTCCGCTTAATGGGAGAACTACCAAAACCCAGAACCTGTTGACAGATTGAATGTCTGTCTAGGGGAACACTTTGCCTCAGGGGCAACTCAGTGGAGAATACACGCATGGGGCCGCAAGAGGAGCCGCTACATGTGGAGCACTAACCCAATACTCGAGGGAACTTACCTCGTAATGGGTTCTAATAGCAAGTTCCTCCGCCGAACTTCGCTAAGTAAAGTGTTTATGTGATGGAAGGGTAGTCCAGAGTTCATGAAAGGAACCTGAGCTGGACTGAATAAGCGCATAACCACCCTGGGGGGAGTAGCGCTGGTAGCAAGCCCTACACACCCTGCCAGTCTCCTGAGTCAAGAACTGACGTTCAGAATTCTAGAAGAAACTGGTTCCTTTTGTAGATTATAAAATCTTGCATATGTATTAGGTGTAACCCAATCTGCAGCTCTACAGATATCTGCTAGAGAGGCCCTGTTTGTCAGGGCTGGTGATGCAGCCATGCCCCTGGTAGGAGACGTGGCCTCGGAGGGTTCAACCTCCGGGCGCCTCTGAGGAACCGAATAACCAGATTGTGCTTCCCCACCGATCTGCCTCCCACGGTGTTGTGGTTAGCCGCAATCGCGGCCACGTACACCTTAAGTGTAGAAGCAGACAGGTGCCTTTCCAGGCCTCCTTGGAGGAAGGAGAGTACAGATCCGATGCCACATCTCCGAGGGTCCTTCCCCTGGGAAGAACACCAATTCACGAATACGCGCCACTTCGGGTCGTACAGCCGCCTCGTTGAGGTGGCTCTGGCCTGAGTAATGGTATTCACTACTGCTGGTGAAAGGTCTCTGAGTTCTTCCTGGTTGCGTCCAGGAACCAAACATGAAGGTTCCAGAGATCCGTGCGCGGATGCCAAATTGTGCCCTTCCCCTGAGAAAGGAGGTCCTTCCTCAGGGGAATTCACCAGGGAGGAACTGATGCCATAAGCACGAGCTCCGAGAACCAGGTCCTGTTGGGCCAATAAGGGGCCACAAGCAGGAGCTGTTCTCTGTCTTCCCTGACCTTGCACAGTGTCTGTGCAATGAGGCTCACTGGGGAAAACGCATACTTGAGTAGGCCCCTGGGCCAGCTGTGAGCCAGTGCATCCGTACCGAGGGGAGCCACGGTCAGGGAGTATCACAACTGGCAATGGGTCGATTCCAACGAGGCAAACAGGTCCACCTGTGCCTGGCCGAACCGACTCCAAATCAGCTGAACTGTTTGGGGGTGAAGCCTCCACTTGCCCCTGAGCGAAACCTGTCTCGAGAGGAAATCCGCTACACGATTGAGGTCACCCGGGATATGAGTGGCATGCAGAGACCTGAGTCTGTGCTGGCTCCAAAGTAAGAGATGGCAGGCGAGTTGTGACATGCAATGGGAGCGAACAC